CCCCAACCCCCCACCCCAGGAATTTGCAAATTGGGACACTTACTCCACCTGCTCATTCCTTTAGCAAGCCCATCCATGTGCCCAGCTGTTCACTGGGGATAAAGGGATGAGTCACGTCCCTACCTTCACAGAGCCAGCCGTCTAGTGGAAGGAACAGACACATAAATTGGAAATTATGACAAGGTACCAGAGGAGAGAAGTTGAGCCACTGTGGAGAGCTGTGGAAGGCAGAGGCCACACTAGGAAATCTCGTGGTCTTCCTAACCTCGGCGTGTCCAGATGAAACTGAGGAGCCTTCTTCTCAAAGTAGCTTGTTTCCTAGTGCTTTCTCTCTCAGTACATTGTACAATGTATTCACATATTCATTCATGCATGCATGCATTCTAGAAATATTTATTGGGTGACTGCTAACGCAGAGCCACCGTTTTAGGTGCTGGGGACACAGAAATGAGCAAAACAGACACAGACTCTACACACGTGGAGTTTATGGTCTGATAGGCTCCACTGGCATTAAAGACATAATGACCTCTAAATGTGTAATTGCAAATTGTAATAAGGATAGAAAGAGCTAAGAAAAGGTATGATTCAGTAAATGAAGTTAGATTTGGATGCATCTAATTACTCAGGGACATGGATCCGAAGGTCAGAGAGATTAGTGGATGAATATTCAGGTTTAGATACTGAACAGGTATGGAGGTATGGACGTGGGAAGGTGTCCCTGGTATGGTATTAAGTGAAAAATCAATGTGTCAGGTATGGCTACATCTACATGACGTACAAGAATAGGCAAAATGAACAGGGTACAAAGGGGTGTTCTGGATACTGGAAATGTTTGATAACTCTTTTTTCTTTTTAACTTTTTTTTAATTAAAATTTATTGGGGTGACAATTGTTAGTAAAGTTACATACGTAGGTTTCAGGTGTACAATTCTGTAGTACATCATCTATATATCACATTGTATGTTCACCACCCAGAGTCAGTTCTCCTTCCATCACCATATATTTGGCCCCCTTTACCCTCATTTACCACCTGCCTTCCCCCTTACCCTCTGGTAACCACTAAACTGTTGTCTGTGTCTTATGAGTGCGATAACTCTTTATCTGGGTGGGAGTTTCATGAATATAGTTGACATAAAAATTTGTCAAGCTTTACATCTAAAAGTTATGTTCTTTATTGTATGCATGTGTGCATGTTTTTAGAAGAGATTTTAAAAATTAGTATGTTTATATGTATGTGTATATGTTTTATCTTCATAGAAAAGAATCTGGAAAAAAATGTATTAACCAAGATGTTAACAGTGGTTTTACCTATTCTGTAGTAGACATTTTTCTTTGCTTTGCTTATCTGTATTTTCAAATGTTTCTACAAATCTACATATAACCTTTTGTAATGAGAAAATTTTGAATAAAAAGCCACGTTACATTTGATACATGAAATATTGAACAGGTTCTGAAAAGTCTTCAAAATCAGAATGAAGTTCAGCCTTCCTTTTACTAAGCTAAGTTTGTCACCCTATGACTTTTATCTTGACTTCTTCAAATTAACTTAAATGAAAAGCCCAGATTCTACAGGTAATTGAAAACTAGAAAGATTTCTAAGTTTTCCTATTGGATTCCGTTGATCCTTCAAATTATTTCTACTTCTCCTGTGGTCTTGATGAACCAAATCCTGCCCCATATAGAGAAATATAATTCTGCAGGAAAATTTTGTAAATCAATCATGAAAGAACTGCATTTTTTGCACCTTACTCCTTCTGGGACTCCAAGCGGATATCCACAGAGCTTTTGCCAACTAAAAACTGAGAGTAGACACTGACCATGAGACCTCTCTCTTTCAGGATGACATCATCACTGTGATCAGCCGAGTGGATGAGAACTGGGCAGAAGGAAAGTTAGGAGATAAAGTGGGCATCTTCCCAATCTTGTTTGTAGAGGTACGTGAGTATCAAGCCTACATCTGATTCAAGCTTACTCAGAAATACACGTGTGCTACAGTGATTTCTGAGAGGAATTCCCATTTGATCCGAGGCTTACTTCAGAACTAACTAAAGTCTCTAAAGAAAAGATGCCAAATGATGATAGCCAGGTCTGGCGAGAGTATGGAAAAATGGGCCTTTTCCTTCTGCTGATAGAAATGTAAATTGGTACAGTCCCTCATATCCAAACTCAAACTCAAACTCATATCAAGAACATTAAAAATGTACATCTCCTTTGAGTCAGCAACCCCACATCTGAGAGTTAATTGTAAGGAAATATTAAAACAAGTATGCAAAGATATATGTATAAAATGTGCAAAAATGTTCACCATTGCATTGTGTATAATGGTTAAAAAAAAAGAAAGAATCTAACTACCCAACAATAAGGATTTAGTTTTTAAAAATAATGGTGATAGAAATATACCCGTTAAAAATAATGTAAAAAATAAATAAATAAAATAATGTTAGAGAAGAATATTCAGTATCATGGACTATTTGGTATTATAGGGAAATGTTTGTCATTTATTGTTAACTAAAATAAAGTTTAATGGGTATAGAATTTAAGACTTCGAAGATGAAAAGTTCTAGAGATCTGTTTCACAACAATATAAATATACTTAATACTACTGCACTGTATACTTAAAAATGATTAATATGATCAATTTTATGTTATATGTTTCTTACCACAACCAAAAAAAACAAACTCAAGTATATGAAACTAGATTTATAAATATATGTGTGTATATATAAATGGATAAAAGACTAAAAGGAAATGTACCTAAATATTAGCAGTGGTGACCATCAGATGGCGAGATTCTAGATGATTTTCATTTTTTTCTGCTGGCTTGTATTTTGTAAATCTTCTGAAATCAGCACATATTACTTTGTTTGTTTTCTAAAGAAAGAAAGAACACATGCTAGACTATTTACCTGTTTCTCCAATATAATGATGTATCCTGGAGTCCCTAACATCTCCAGCCTTCGGCTCACCCTAGCTTGAAGCGGATCATTACAAATTTAAAAAAAAGGTTTCACTGATTAACTGCATTTATTGGGTGCTTACCAGGCATAAAGCATTAAACGTCAGCAGTGGGAATCTATGAAAGAAGTAAAAGGCATGCTCTCCACCCTCCAGGAGAGTGGGGTGAAAACAGAACAGAGGCATAATAGGAGAGAAGAAACCAATCTTGCATTCATAAGCCAAAGCAGGTTCTGAAGTGAACGGTATGCCTAAAACACTGTCCATCTTTCAAGGTTCCCTACACATTCCCTACTCAATCAGTGTTGAAGGGATGAGAAATGGAAGGGAGAGATGGAGAAAGGGCCCAGAGAAGCTGGTCTTCTATCTCTAACAAATTCTCATTCCCAAAGCTTTTTCTTGTGCTGAGGCCCCTACCAGGTACACCCAGCCAATTTTCTCTACCTGTTCAAATTTCACTTGTTTTACAAGGCTCTGCTAGAAACCCACTTGCTCCGTATAATTTCAGCAACCAACTGAACACTGAGTGGCCTCTTATTTCTCTAAATACCTGATGGGTGTGTGGCTTATACATCATAGGCTAGCCCAACACAGAACAGGCACTCTATAAAAAATTAGCTTAACAAGTGAATGAATGAAAAAATATTTGGGAGGTTGTCAGAAAAAATTTAGAAAAATAGTCACACGGTGTGACCCCATCCTAAACATATATTCAATCATTCAATTAATTTTTCACTGAGTGCCTGCTATGTCAGGTCCTGTGCTAAGTTCTAAAGAGACAAGACAGATAGGGGTCCCTACTTTCAGATTGTCAAATCAGACATGAATCAAGCCATTATAAGTGTGATGAATGATGCGAATTATAAAGTAGAGGGAACTTTGCAGGGTGGGAGGCTATGATGTGCAACTTATCTGAGTCAGCAAATGCCTCTTAAGCCAAGGTCTGATCACTGATTAGGAGTTACACAGGTGAGCATGGAGGGGAGAGTGTTTTAGGAAACAGAGGTAACATATGCAAAAGTCCTGCAGGATGAGGAAGTTTGATGTATCCAGTGGCCCAAAAGAATATTAGAGCTAGAGCTTAGAGAGTGAGAGATTGACCAAAAAATGAAGCCAGGAAAAAAATGGGAGACAGATCACAGAGACCTTCGTAAACCATCCTGTATTCATGAGGATGAGCTAGGTTATGCTATGGTAATGAACAGTCCCAAATCTCAGTGACTTAACAAAGAAAAAGTTATTTCTCACCCACATTGTATGTTCAACACAGAATGGTGAGAAGCCCTGTTCACGTAAATCACATAGGAACCCAGACTAATAGGCTGGGCCATTTTGTAGTGGCAGCATCTGAAACATGTGGACTTCCTTGTTTCTATGGCAGGGGAAGAGGGAGTTGTATATGAGCAAACGCCTCTCCCAGAGGTGACACTTTGTCACTCCCACTCACAGTCCATTGACCTGAACCAGTGACATGACATAGCCCTACCTGTGTTCAAGTCAGCTGAGAAGTATAGGGGAGTACATGGGATATTTGGCAAGTGCTGTCTCTGCCATGCTGTAGAAGTTTGGACTTGATTCAGAAGTCAGTAGAAGCCATTGAAAGGTTTTAAGTGAGGCAGTGATGCCAACAGATTTGGGCTTCTTAAACGCTGCTCTGGCTATAGTGGGAAAAATAATTTGAAGAGGGAAGAGAAAAAAGCAGAAAGAACAGTGAGGAGGCTCGGTTAGAAGACGGCCGTGGCTTGGGCCAGTGGGTTGGAAACAAGTGGGCAGATTCAAGGACCTTTTAGGAAGTGGATCCACAGGACTTAGAGGCTGACAGAAGTAGGGAGGAGGGGACAGAAAGTGGTCAAGGGTCATGCCCCACTTTCTGATTGTGTGCCTAGGTGACTGGTGGAGCCATTTGCTGGGTCAACAACATTTGCTGCAGAAGAACAATTATGTTGATTGGGAGACAGTGCTTGTGTCCAAGTACGGAGACCAGCTACAACAAATATCTAGTTGGACACATAGGAGGTGCTTAGCTTTTGGCAGATTAGAGCTTGCTTGGTCCTCTGCATTATTTGAAGAAGCTTCTGCAAAGCTCTAGGGGAGGGGGAATGGCACCACTTATTGTATCTCCCATTTCCAATACTTTTTCCCAAAACTTCTACATTTAATGATTATTCATTTGGATTCTCTCCCCACCACTTCATCTCTAAAATTGGTGATTACAAGAATCCTCAAGTTATCATCAAACTAGCCATTGCTTCATTTGTTCTCCTCATTGCTGGGAGGGGGGAAGATAATCAAGTGGCTGCTCTAATCTGGCAACCGGCTTTCAAAAATTACTTGAAATCTAAATTGAACTTTCTAAAGCAGTACTCAAATTTTGACTTCAGTCATTTCATTAAGACTAGCACTTGCTGAGAACTCTTTAAATAAGTTTTAAATTACCACTGCCATGCAAAGCAATTGGAAGGAAGGAAAGCTTTCTATGACAGTGATGTGTTTTGTTTTGTTTTGTTTTATTTTGTTTGGCATAAACAGGATTTTTATTGTTAATGTATCGTTTGATTTGTTGAACTGCACCTGGATTAAAAAAGAAAAAAAGAGGTGGTAAAACAAACACTGAGTTTACACCCATTCTTGTCAGGACTTCTTCAACAGATCCTGCCTGGGTTATATGAATCTTGCTCAGCCCAAGGAACCTCAAGGATATTGTTTCAAATGAGTGGGTGCAAATTTAAGAGATGTGCAGTCCATCCCCAACGAAGCTATTAATCAAGCTGGCAGAGGACGGGGCAGACCAAGGGTCCCATGGTCGGTGTTGCTGATGGTGTTGCTCACCTGGGGACAGGATAATTAGGTGGAAGCAGAAAAAAATTAAGCTCATTGTTGCTGTGAATGACCATAAAGAACTTTACTCATTCGACTCATAGAATGTGTATTGTCCTCTTACTGGGTGAACAAAAGAGGGATGGGCACCCTGGGGAATGTCAGACCTTGTCCCTAGTCCAGACTGCTGTCGGAACTTGCCTAAACAATTGCAGTAACTTTATAATTGGTCCCCTCCTTCCAGCCGTGCACTTCTGAAAGACAGCCAGAATGAGCTTCTTGTGTATTTATTTTTAGTCACATTCAGTAGAATTTACTCTATGTGGTGTCCAGTTCTACAGGTTTTGATAAACGCATTCAGTATAACCACACCACCGTTGAGATGTAGACTAGTTCCCACACTCCCCAAAATACAAGGGAATGCTGCCCCTTTGTAGCCACTTCCCTCCCGCACTCCCAGCCCCTGGCAACCACTGATCTGTTTAATGCTCCTATGGGTTTCCTTTTCCAGAAAGTCATAGAAATGAAGCATACAGAAAGTAGCCTTTTGAGTCTGGCTTCGTCCACTTAGCATAATGCATCTGAGGTTCATCCATGGTGCTGCGTGTAGCATTCGCTCCTCCCTTTTTACTGCTGTGTCCCTCTTCCATCGTATGGATGTGCCAGAACTTGCTTATCCATCTACCTGTTGCAAGACACTGAGATTATTTCCCGTTGTGGGCAGTGACGAATCAGCCGCTATAAACATTCGCACATCATTTTTTTGAGTGAGCATCAGTTTTCATTTCTTTGGGGTAATTACCCTAGGAGTGGAACTGCTGGGTCAGATGCTAAGTGTGTGTTTACCTTTGTAAGAAACTGCCAAACCATAGCACGAGCTTTTAAAAGCATACATCAGGTCGTGTCACTCCTCTATCTAAATCCTGCCAACAGCTTCTTATTACGCTTAAAATGAACTGGAAGCCTTTGGAAACAGGCCCTTTGTGATCCGGCCTGTCTGTCTCTGTCTTTATCGCCTGCTCCTCACTTGCTCCATTCCAGCCTTTTCTGTTTCTTTCTTGTCTTAATCTCAAACGGGCTGAGCTAGCCCCACTGCAGGACCTTTCCACTAGCTTACACACCCTCTGTCTGGCGTGTTTCCACTCCCATCCTCACATGGCTGGTTCCTTCTTGTCATCTGTGTCTCAGCTTACATGTCACCTTCTCAGCAGGTCTTTTTTGACCACCACCCCCACCCAATCTAAAATAGCCACCTCCCCAAGTCACTCTTCGTCACAGCAGAGCACTTATTACTATGGGATATTTTTTCGTTTGGTTGTTTCATACTGACTTAGCCATTTATAAATCACCCTTCTGGGCCTCAGCTTTATCTTTCAAGTGGACATAATAATCCCCCCTCCCCTACTTGATGATTTTTTTTTCCACAATATTACAAATGTCTTGAGGCAGAAACTACATCTGCTTTAAAATTGTCTATCGTGGCTATTTTAAGCACATTATCATTGAAAAGGCCTTAAGCGGGCACCCTCCCTTTTACCTCTGTGTTGCATCCCTAAATTACAATAAGACATGTGGTTCTAGGGGGTAACTGGTGACAGTCATGATGATGGAAATTTCAGCAAAATTCCTGGAAAGTTTCATTCACACAAACCCCATTTTCCGTCAACAGATTTCAGGTTTCTGAAAGACATGGACTCCCCAGGGGCCCTTGGAGGGCAGGGTATTCAAAATATAATGCAGCCAGTGGCTGTGCTACCGTGTTTCCCCGAAAATGAGAACCTAACTGGAAAATAAGCCCTAGCATGATTTTTCAGGATGCTTGTAATATAAGCCCTACCCCAAACATAAGCCCCAGTTAAAATCGTCAGCCAGCCATGACTGTTTGAATAAATGTAGATTGTTGGAGCAAAAATTAATATAAGACCCGGTCTTAATTTTGGGAAAACACAGTAGAACTAGTTGGTGCTACATTGCCAGAGCTACTTGTATTTTCAGGAGTTTTGCTAGCCACCTGTTAGAGCATTGGTAGATATTCACCCCACAGAAGTTTGTAGACTCTGCAAACCAGAGCTTTGTTTGTTTGTTCTCCTGGTTTACCAGCGCACCACTAAAGTATAGAACAGGAGAGACCAGTGATGAGCTGGAAGTATTTAAAGGAAGTAGTAAAAGATGGTCAGAGCATAAAGATTCAGGGCCCTGGATGGATTTGCATTCTGGCTCAAACATTTACCAAATGAACTGCAGCAACTTCACCCATGCATCGTTCCTCACTCCTCCAGCATCGACTCCGGGATAGCAGAGAAGCTAACGGTCCAGTGGGGGAAAGTCAGTGATTCCAGTATGGGGTGAAAATCGTTAGGGTGGAAAAGCACGGGGAATGCGTGCTGCAGGGGCACTGAGAAGGACAGGCAGGTGGCTGAAGGGCGAGGGGAGGAGCCCACTCGGAAAGAGCTGAGATGTGGCAGGCAGAAATGGGTCAAGGGAGAGTGCTCCTGATCAGGGAAGCGTATGATGGCTTATTTTTGACTCCTTTGGTCCTTAGGAAAAGAGTGAAAGAGTAGAACCCACTTTGCAAGAGAGAGTTGTGAGATTTATTGATATAGCACAGTAACTGGGACATATTGATAAAAGACGGAAGCTGACCAAGGAATGTCGACTGAGGTGGTGGCATCTTAATGGGCTTCAGACTAGCCTGGGTAAGACTTCGCTGCTCATATTAGATCAGGAAGATGAACTTCTCATTGGACCTTTTGTCTTTTCAGCCAAACCTCACCGCCAGACACCTCCTAGCGAAGAACAAAGGCCGTCAGCTCTCTCACACCAAAAGCCTGTCCCTGGTGTCCTCATCCTCCAGAGGCAAAGCGACCAACACGTCCACCCTCCGAAGGGGCCCCGGGTCCAGGAGGAAGGGGCCCGGGCAGTTCTCCATCACAACAGCCTTGAACACTCTCAACAGGATGGTCCATTCTCCTTCGGGGAGCCCCATGGTGGAGATCGGCACCCCAGTGCTTATCAGCTCCAGCAACCCCACTCTGATCACCCAGCACGTGGAGAAAGCAGATGTTCCTCCCAGCTCTGCGGGACAGGTAGGAACCAAACCCTGGGAGAAGGGCCCCTTGGAGTTGAGCCCATGATCCACACCCTGTCACAAGCGATAGTGTATGTTTAGTACCTGCTAAGCACCCACAATGGATAATAACTAATGCCATATGTATTGTGTCAGAGCAGTTTACACACGATCTCATTTCATCCTTGAAAAAGCCTGTGAATTAGGTATTGTTATCCCCACTTTATAGATGAGAAAATTGAGGCTGAGAGGAGTTGAACAATTTGCCAAATGCTCACAGATACTTTGCTTTCCCATACTGAGGGCCTTCATGTGTACAGTTGCTGTCCCTTCAAGAACTCCCCTTCCAGGAGATAATGGCACAGTTTTCCAGAGGGTTCTGAAATCACAACTGGAGAGTGACTGTTCCATCCTCTGGCAATGTCTCAGGCATAAGGTGGAAAAGGAGGAAAGGAGAGAAAAAAAACCTATGGGTTATTGGGTGTTTTCAGGACTGGCCACATAATTTGCAGGGCCCAGTGAATAGTGAAAATGCAGGTCCTTTGCTCAAAAATGATTAAGAATTTCAAGATGGCAACAGCAGAGCATTAAACCAACTGAAGGGCCCTTCTAAGCACAGAGCCCTGTGTAACTATTACCTATGTCACACATCCACCAAAGGGCATTTTCATATGGAGCATAAGATTCTGTATGTAAAGTGCTTAGCACAATGCCTGGCACGTACGAAGCACCCACTAAACATTTGTTCTTAATACTGTTACGATTAAACCTGGTCACTGAGTTGCCAACTCCAGGGACATAAGCCACGGGGCGGTTGTGGCATTCCAGATGCAGAAGTACCTCTAAGAGCATGTGGCTATTTAGGCTGAAGGGTCCTTTAAAAGATGAAGGACTGGAGGTATGAGGCAAAGTAATTAAGAAGAACTGCATGTTGGGTATTCTGCTGAAAATGCCCTTAGAAAAGATGCAGGTGGCAACTCGAAAGAACAAACCTCAACTCGCACTGATGTGTTTTTTATAAGCTGTAAATCTTGTTTTTAAACATGAATCTCTACCTTGGGATTAAATGGTTTAATTGGACTCTAATCCCTTTTTAACAAGACAAGGAGGCAGAGAAAGTCAAGCGCTCCTCAAAGACCTGTGGGCTGCTTTAAAAGGAAAACAGCCACCTCCTGTAACACTTCATATTTTATACCACTGTCTGGGCCTCTGAGAGGCTGGCTGTTCCTGTAGTTCTGCCCACCACGTATACTAGACACACACACACACACACACACACTCACACTTTCCACTCTATATACACTCCCCTTGCGTTAAAAATAATAATAATAGGGCCAGCCGAGTGGCACGTTGGTTAAGATCTGGCTTGGGACACCAGAGGCCCTGGTTCGGGTCCCACATATGAGGGCCAGTGACACTGCCCTCTACAGCTAAGATGCTGAACAACAGCTCGACCTGGAGCTGGGCTGCCATGAGTTGCCCGCGATGGCGTAGGCTGCAGCCCCTGTGGCAGTAGGTTGCCATGGGTTACCATGTGTAGCCAGCAGCCCGCGTGAGCGGCCAGCAGCCGCAGTGAGCAGCCGTCCAGAGGCTGGCGACTGATCTGCCTCACCTGGGAAGAGCGCAATGATGGTGCCAACTTGGGCCAGTGAAGCAACGTCCTCCACAACTAGACTGAAGAACAAAACGACAGCAACTTGTCTGTTCCCATCCCCCAATTCCCCAATAAAAATCTTTTAAAAATAATAATAATAATAATAATAATAATAATAATAAAACTCCCTTTTTATACACACATTCCAAATACTTTTTTACAAGTACATACACACTTTGTGCCCAAATTTCTCCCTGCACCACACACACACACACACACACACACACATTGCAGTGATCTACTCAACATTTCTAAGCAGAGTATATATGAGACCACCTCTCTGCTTTTTGTCCTTGTACCCAGCAGAGTGGCGGCATGATTCTGGGTAATGAACAAGTGTTTGTGGAATAAATACTTGCTGTTCCTCCGGGAATTTATTTTTGATGCATTCGCCTGTCACCATCATATCCATGCCCCAAAGCCCTGTCGGCATACCATCTCTTCAAGGAGGCTCTGGCCTCTGCCCCCTGCAGAATGAGTGTGTCTCCCCTGCATTCACAACTCGTGGTTTATACTCTTGTTCTTTGTACTATAAATACCGTGTGTGTGTGTGTGTGTGTGTGTGTGTGTGTGTGTGTGTGTGTGTGTATCTTATCGCCTTTCTCACTAGATTGAAAACTTCTTAAGGGCAGGGATGGCGTCTTCCTCATTTATGTTGCTATATTGCTGTTGACTTTCCAAAACCCCTGAAGCATCTGATAGCACGTTGCTTTGCCTGAAGAATCAAAAACAGAGACAGCGGCCTCGGCCTCCCTTAAATAATTACTAGGCCCTTTCCCCTCTTCTGATTATCCAGAAAACAAAAGAGAGAAGACAGAGCAGAAGAGGCAGGTCACAGAAGTCAGCGTAAGAAAAGGGATACTCTCCCTCCCTCCTGCCCCTCCTCCATCCCATCCCAGGATGAGAATGACAAGCCTCAGAATCTCGCCTGGGCTCCTGGGAAAATGAGCTGTCATGCATGCATCTTGGGGAACGCTGAGATCTATAAAGCCGGTTCTCCTTTCACTCCTATATTTGAAATATTCTGAATAAAGTGATTTCATTATTCACTTTATTCAAGTTCAAGGAGTTTTAACTATAAGTCCAGATCCTCTCCCCCGGTGACCCTTTGTCTCCATCTTTCATAGGCATCTCTCAACCCAAATTTACGGTACTCCGGGGTGCCACGAGACATGGTTTTTACTTAGTATTAAGATCATTTGTTTTCCTTTGGATACACTCTCAGTCTAATTTACAGCTAAGATTCTTAGCTAAGCCTTCTAAGGTCATTTACAGAAACAAATTTATCCTATACTTACATTATTATGTTGATGTCTCCCAATAAAAATTTATTTTATCTTTACCATTGTCACTCAACCAATCCCTACTCATAAATGATGTTATCAGAGCACTCTTAAACTGACTGAAGTGGTGCCAAAAGCTGTGGGTAGAAAACCGGGGAGGTCCCGTTAAACGGACACCTGTCCCCTCAAAATCTCCTGTTCCATGTCATCATTATCTGCTTCAAAGTGCCTTCTATGGGGCCTAATAGGTGCTTGAAATATTTGTGTTAACCTTTCAAGAGTGTACCCTCTGGTTGGAGACGGCCCCGTAAGCTGTTCTCATAAATTATCAGTGGGTGCCTGGGCAGGAGTTCACTGACAGGACATCTGAAAGCAAGAAAGGACGCAGGGCAGGACCAGAGGGCCTCTGCCACCCCTGTTCTGCCAGCTCCCCCTGGGCACAGAGCTGCCACGAGCCACCTAGAGAAGCAGGGTGTGTGCAGGGTAAACCACTCCAGCCTTCAGCCAGACGCCTCTTCCCCAGCCTAATGGAGACACTCAGGGCGAGTCAGGAACCACGCTGAGTTCGGCTTCTATCAAAACCCAGACATAATCCCTACCGCACAAGGCTGTTGGGAAAATCAAAAGATGTAAAGTGGAGGCCAAGTGCTTGACTACCACTTTTACTATTGTTGTTATTATTAAAGATTTTAGCGGTCACAATTTCATAACAGTCGGTTGCTAGGTTTCTCTTCCATCCCTTTCATGTACACTTGTTTTGAACTTTTTATGATGGAAAAACTTGAAACCTATACAAAAATTGAAAGAAGACTGTTAATGAACCCTCATGCATGCATCACTCAGTCTCCATTATCCACTCACGGGCCCCTCTTAATTCAGTGATATCCCCACTCATGAACCTGCTCCCCAGTTGGGATAGTTTAAGGCAGAGCCCACGCATCACATCATTTCATCGATACACATTTCAGTACAGACCTCTTTAAAGATTTCAGGATTTTCTTCCTAGAGTTTAACATAACCAGGATTCCATTATCACACATTTTAAAAAATGGATAATAACTTCTTAAAATCATTAAATATTCAGCCAGCGTTCAAATGTCTATATTTGCCTTGTAATAGTTTTTTTTTTTTTGTCATATACAGTTGATTAGTTTAAGTGACATCCAATGAGGTAACACCTTGCATTGGGTTGATGTGTCTCTTGGATTTATCTTATTCTCAGGTTCCCCCCACCTCTTGTCCCTACGTACATGTTAAAGAGGCCAAGTCATTTGTCTTGTTGAATTTTCCACATTCCGGATAGAGCCGGTTTCATCTTCGCAGCATTGTGTAACATATTCCTCTCTCCCCTGTGCTTTCTGTAAGCTGAGAGCCAGAGAGGCTTCCTCAGCCTCAGGCTTGGGGGTTTTTTTTGGCAAGAATATCTCGTAGACAGTGCTAAACACTTCTTTTTTGGTGTTTTTTACTTCTTTTTTGTTTAAGGGTACAATTCAGTGGCCTTTAGTATATTCACAGAGTTGTACATCCATCACCACCATCAATTTTAAACATTTTCACGATTCCCAAGAGAAACCTCTCAGCCATCACCTCCCCAAGCACCCCCCCCACTTCCCTTTACCCGCCACCCACTCCAGCCCTAGGCGGCACTAATGTGTTTTCTATCTTTATCGGTTTACCTATACTGTGCATTTCATCTAAGTGGAATCAGACGACATTTGGTCCTTGGTGGCAGTGTTCTTTCACTTAGCATAACGATTCAAGTTTCTTCCACGTTGTAGCATGTACCGATACCGCATTCCTTTTCATGGTTGAATAACGTTCCATTGTGTGAATATCATCAGTTGATGAACGTCTGGGTTTTTTCACCTTTGGGCTATTATAAATAGTGCTGTTACAAACATTGGCACACACGAGTTTTTGTGCGCATGTGTTTTCCTGTGGGTATATGCCTACAAGTAAAAGTGCTAGATCATATCGTTAACTCTATGTTTAACTGTTTGAGGAACTGCCATCTATTTTCCAAAGTGATTGCACCATTTTGCATTCCTATCAACAGTGTATGAAGGTTTCCAATTTCTCCAC